CTTCCTTATGTGCATTTTCATTTAGTCCTTATAACTAAAATTCTAAATACCTGACTGTGGCTCTGAATTGACTGTAGGTAAGATGTTTCCTTACACTTTATTTTTTCAAATCTAGAAACAAACTTGTAAGAGAGATGTCAGCTAGCTGGTGGTATAATTTCTCCCAACAGAGAAGCATCATAATGAGTTGTAGTCAGTCCTTTTGTTGGTGGCACTCAGCCATCAGCATTTTGGAGGATCTGATCCAGTTTTCACTAGGTCATCTGTGAAAGGCAGTTAGCTCCTTTTGTACCGAGAGCATCAACGTATCAATGCATCAACGTATCAATGAAGGGAATCCAGAAAAGGGACAAATAAGAGCAGTAAATCTTTCAGACAGGAGAGTTTTGCACTGGAGCTAGACAGCATAGGTTTGGTACTTGCTTATCCCTCCGTGGTAGGGCGATTACAGTGAACATTGTCATTAGAGGAGGTTTTGGAACAAATAGAAAAACTTAATGTTAACAAATCTCCGGGACCGGATGGCATTCATCCAAGGGTTCTAAAAGAACTCAAATGGGAAATTCCTGAGCTATTATCTGTAGTTTGTAACCTATCCTTTAAATCGGCTTCCGTACCTAATGACTGGAAGGTAGCCAACATGACACCAATATTTAAAAAGGGCTCTAGAGGCGATCCTGGCAATTACAGACCGGTAAGTCTAACTTCAGTACCGGGCAAATTAGTCAAAACAATAGTAAAGAATAAAATTGTGAAGCATGTAGAAGAACATAATTTGTTGGACAAAAGTCAACATGATTTCTGTAAAGGGAAATCCTGTTTTACTAATCTATTAGAGTTCTTTGAAGGGGTTAACAAACATGCGGATAAGGGGGATCCAGTAGATATAGTATACTTAGATTTTCAGAAAGCCTTTGACAAGGTCCCTCACTAAAGGCTCTTGTGGAAATTACATGGCCATGGGATAAGAGGAAAGGTCCTTTCTTGGATTGAGAACTGGTTAAAAGACAGGAAACAAAGGGTAGGAATAAATGGTAAATTTTCAAATTGGAGAGGGGTAACTAGTGGTATCCCCCGAGGGTCAGTCCTGGGACCAATCCTTTTCAACTTATTCATAAATGATCTGGAGAAAGGAGTAAGCAGTGAGGTGGTAAAGTTTGCAGATGATAC